GCCCTGCCCGCGCCTGGCCCACCCCCGCCTCTGCCAGGTGAACTAACCGGGTCGGCAGGTTCTCCCTGGGAGAGACCCAGGACAGCGGAGTGGGCTTGGCCAGGGGATCAAGGCCTGGGGGTGGGGAGGTGGCTGGGCCAGGCCAGGAGGGACGAGGACGAGGGACGAGGACCACTGTGATGCAGCTGGCGAGGAGTGGCCTCAGGCAGAGCCACAGGGCCCAGCTCCACAGTGAGTCTGGAAGATTCCACACGCACAGCTCCTTGGGGAAGAAGGACCCAGTCCCCAGGAGAGGGCAGGGCCTGGGGGGGAGCTGGGGACGGACAGCCTGGACCCCCGTCCTCCCTGGCCATGGGCTCCTGGCCGAGCGAGCTCCCGGGACCCACCAGCCGGCCAAGAGCCAGGGCCCCTCAGGCTGGGAACAGGGTGGCCCGAGTCCTGTCTCCTTATGTAGGAAGCAGCTGGGGTCACCGCCCAACTCAGGACGGGCAAGGACAGCACAGGCCAATCCCTGGTCTCCGCCCCCCGCAGCGGCAGGACCCTGGGAGACTCACTCACGCTGTCACCTTCTGGGGGAACAGGCTGGGTGACAACAGCCTGCCCGCCTGTCTCCCGGGGTGCTGGACGGCTGGAGGGGTGGACAAAAGGGATCATTATGAAAAGCGACGACCGGATGCCCCATGAGGGGGCTGCCCAGGACCCCAGAGTCAGGCAGCAACCGAGCAGGGCTGAGCGGGCCTCCCAGACAGGGCCAGGCCCCTCCGCAAGGCCCTGGACCTCAAGCAGGCTCTGTCCCAGGCTGACCCTCTCTGCGTGGGCAGAGGGTGGGCAGGGGCTGCTCCTCTGTCTCCGGGTTCCCTCTGGTCTGGGACCCCCCCACACCAGGCATGGCCCAGGAGTTGGGGGATCGAAAGCCCCACTCTGCCCCTTTCAACTGTGACCCTGGGCAGGCCACAGCTCCTGGACCCTCGGTTTCCTCATCTGTAAAACGGGGTTGTGAGTCCCACCCGGGGACGCTGGGGACGGCCACTTGGACGTCATGGCTGCCTGCACACATCGACACCCAACAGGTGCGGGTTCGCCTCCCCCTGATGCTCCTGCCAGGCGCAGCCCAGGTTTGGCAGGAGAGTTTCCGGCTTCCCACAAAACCTGCCTCAAGACCCTGGCTCAGGCGGTGTCCGGGAACCTGCCTCCCTGGGGCCTCCTGGGCAGCTACAGCGGTCAGGGAAGGTAGGACTGCAGGGGGTCGGGGTCTGGGGCACCACAGGACCCAGGTCCTGTCTCGAGTGCTCCTTCCGGCCGAGGGCATCCTCAGATGCAGCAGGTACCACTCAGACCTCAGTTTGTCCTTTCTGTAAAGTGGGGGTGGTGATAATCATCTCTTCCTGCTGCATGTTAAGTTTCCACTCACACAAAGCCCTGGGGGAGAAGGAGTGGGAGGCGGTGGGCGAGGGAGGGCTGGTGAGTTCCGGCCTCACAGGAGGAGTCTTTATGGAGCAGGGCAAGGTTCCAATCGTCAGCAGCACCAGGGGCTGAAATTCAACACAAGCCCCACCCCTGCCCCAGTCCACTACCCCACTGGCTCTCAGTGTAGTGCTGCAGCATCTCCTGGGACCAAGTGTTAGAAATATACATTTTCAGGGAGGTTCAGTGGCACACGCCTGGAATCCCAGCAACCCAGGAGGCTGAGGCAGGAGGATTGCAAACGGAAGGCCAGCCTCTACAACTTAGCAAGACTCTGTCTCAAAATAAAATAAAAAGGCGTAGCTCAGTCTAGAGTGCCCCTGGATCCAATCTCCAATGTGGGGGGAAAGAAAGCGAGAAAGAGAAGGAAGGAGAAAGGGAAGAAGTGAACATTCTCGGGAGCCACCCCATGCCAAGAGAGCCGGCCACTCTGGGGGTGAAGCCTTCAGGGGCCTTCCAAACGCCTCTCGCACCTGTCATTTCCAGAACCAGGGCCCCACCGCGGCCCGCCTCCTTCCTACTCCAGAGACACTTCCCCCACAGCCTCGCCTCCAGACCAGTCCCTGGTCTCCAGGAGGCTACTTGCAAAGGAGTCACTGTAGGGACAGGCCATTAAATAGTAAAGAGATCCCATGATTAGTTAATGATGTGACAGGGGCCAGAGAGAAGAGAGAGTCAGACCATAACTGCAGAGAAAAGTCCCCCGGTCTATCACTGTCCTGCTGTCTGTCTCTTTCACTAACACGCACACCCCGAGAGCCCGGCCCGGCCGGTGGGTTTGCCAGCGAGCACAGGGGCAGCCGGTGCCTCCTGCCGTCGGGGTGTCTCTATGTGTGTGGGGGAAGGGCTCTCCCCCAAGAATCTGGTCCTGACACTTGGAGTTTAAGGACCGCCCAGCTGGAAAGTCACTTCCGAGATCCCCTGCGTGAGCTCAGGAGATTTAAGCACAAAATATGTGAAGACAAGGCGGTCACTCTAGCAATGTGGGTGCTGATGAAAAATTCAAATGGCCTACCTGTGTGACAGCTGGGGACACTCAGGCAGGCCACCGTAGGTTCCTGTGCTTTGATGCTATGAAGCTGGGAAACTCCTTTAGAAGAGTTCTGAGTCACCCAGGAAGCTCCCCTGAGCCGCAGTGAGCTTGTCCAGGTGGCACAGGAAGTGGCTCCCATGGGGTGTGATCCCAATCTGGTGTGTGCGAACTTGAGTTTTTTTAAAAGGCCAAAACACCAAGCCGTGGGCAGTGGTTATCTCTGGGTGATTAGTTACTTCCGTGTGTCTGTTTTTTACCCTGCAAGTTTTTCCACAAAAACTTTCTCCCACAATTAGAAAGTTTGGGGGTGGGGATTTTTGGTGGCCATTTGGTTCAGATGAAGATGGAGTTTTTTAAAAAAAAATCGACAAGAAATATCTGTTTTCTAGTTGGAATCGCTGGCCTGCCGTCCCCTGCTCTAAGATCTGGGACCATCCGTAAGCATCCCCATCCCACGGGATCTGGACTGATAAGGGGACTCTGAAGCTCGCTATCAGTACCATCTCATTTAATCCTCAGGGTAACCAAAGCTTTGGGAGGCTGAGAACTTGCCCGCAGGTGAGCAGGCACCAGGGGGTAGAGCTGGCCCCTCCCTAGTCTGCTTGACGTCAACCCCCGCCCGGCAGGAGGAACCCCGAGTGGTAGCAACAACCCCAGGGTTTCCCTGTTTGTAACTTACACAAGTTTGAAAACCACTCTGCCTCCTGGTAAATGAGGGGCTGCTGCCTACCTTGTCAGGTCCTTTTTGGTTTCAGGAATTGAACTCAGGGGCGGACCACTGAGCCCCATCCCCAGCCCCACTGTGTATTTTATTTAGAGACAGGGTCTCACTGAGTTGCTTAACGCCTTGTCCTTGCTGAGGCTGGCTTTGAACTTGTGGTCCTCCTGCCTCAGCCTCCTGAGCCGCTGGGATTACAGGCCTGCGCCACCGAACCCAGCAAGACACATCCTTTCTGCCCCAGTTACCCTACAGTGTTCAGAGAGGCCGGGCGTCAGGGAGACGGGCTGTCTGCCTGTGTGGGTGTAAGGGGGTGACAACAGCCATGACTCCCACTCGCCTGCTGCGCGACTTCAGAGAATCCATCCCCCCCCCTTTCTAAGTCCTCTATAAATGACAATTTACAGATTCCATTGCAACAGCATTCGGATAAGCCGAGTGGGAGACGGTTTCCAACCGCAGCAGAGTGATTACTAATTATCACGATTAGCAGCAACAGCAAACCAACGTTTATTGAGTGCTAACTGCATACCAGGCATCAAAGTGCCTCCTCTGTGCACGGGCTGGGGACCCTCTACCAGGTCACCGCCTCCAGCCTCGCTCCGCCCCCTCCTCACGCCTGGCCCCAGACCCCACAGTGGCTTCCCGGATTGGTCCCTCTGAGCTGCACTCTCTGCGCTCAGCCAGTCGCCTGTCGCCTCTTGCACACGCAAGGCCAGGCCAGGGCACATGCAGGAAGCGTGCTGCGGTCCCGCTCCTGTCACCTGGCCCTGCGTGGCAGCAGGCTCTCGTCCAGCGGGAAACTCTGCCAGTCCAGCTAACTCTGCAGCTCAGGGGCAGAGAGCAGCCTCGGGCCGATCGGAGGCCACCCTCCTGGTAGCATTTCCAAGTCACGAGCTGCCTGGAGCTTCCTCTTGGAGCTCCACTTACCCTCCCAGAAGCCCCTCGGTGTTTTCTCCCCCAGTGTCCCAGGTGAGAGCCCAGAAGCCAGTTCCTTCCAGCTACTGTTGAAAAGCTGTCACACCCCCCAGCGCCAGGGTGGGCCACCACCTGCGCCGCTGGATTAGGCTCCCTCCCGCCCCGCAGTATCTGACTCTGGCCTCCAGGCCACCTTCTCTGGGGCTCCACTCGCTGATAATTCACCTCCAACCCACACTCCCGCCTGCCTCTGAAAAGATAGGAATTAAGAGCAACGAAACCTCAATGTGGTTCAAGTTCACGTAGCACGTTCTGGTTTAAATATGTAGGAGATTTTCAGAGCTTTATTGTTAAATATAAAAGTTATACAGGCTCACTGCAGAAGACCCAGGAGATTGGGAGAAGAAAATGGTCTCTAATCTAACCTCTATAATTGTCTGTTGTAATGGGTATATTTACAGGTAGCTTCCGACATTGTGGCCTGTTGAGTGGGGAGCGGCTCCGCTGATCGGTGTCTGCAGTGCCCTCTGGCAGCAGCTGGGACCTGTGTCCCAGCCTGTCGCACTGCAGGAGACAGGCCAGGCACCCAGAAGACATTTTTCTGAGGAAAAAAACCCTCGCAGCTATCCAACACTGTACATATACCTCACTGACAAAAGCCACAGGGGACAGGATGATAGTTACGGTTTTGCAACTCCAGGGCTGTGCCTTGTCCAAGGTCACATGGCCAATAAAGGATGAGCTGGGACCTGAACCCAGGTGTTTGGTTCCCTAGACTAGAACTAGTCCCCGGGCTCTCCTTCTCCTAAAGACTTAAATCCTGCTTCCTATCAATCACAAGTTCCAAGATCCACAGGTATAGAGAGCATGTCCGCGGAGCCAGGCACTGTCCTAGATGCAGCACAAACAGCAGCTCCTATGTCACTGCCAGACAGCCCAGGAGGTAAGGAGCACTGTGGCACCTTGGTACCTGAGAAGGGTACAGGATCTACAGATGCTCACCATCGCTTATTAAAAAAATAGCATGATATTTCCTATAACCCCCACTCACCCTCTGATACACTTTAACTCTTCTCCAGATCCCTGACAGTACCTGATACGATGTCAATGCTATGTACACAGTTGATACACCGCATTCTTTAACCACAGGACAACTTGAAAAAGTCTGCATGTTTGCAATAGATAGAAATTTCTTTTCCCTAATAGTTTTGATCTGTAGTTGGTTGAGTCTGCAGGTGTGGATTCTGTGGCTAACAGGTGCTGGAACCAGTCAGAGAGGGGATAAGACAAGACAGCTTGCCCAAGGCCACGTCCGGCTGGTCAGAGGCAGACCACCCTCGGGCAGTCTGGCCTGAGGTCTGTGATCCTGCCTTTTCTCTTCCTTCCCCACTCCCCAGACCCCGAGGAGAAGGCTCTGGAGCACTCCCTGAGGGTGAGGCACCAGTCCAGAGGGCCTCGCCCCCCCACCCCCCCCCCCCCGCCAAGGTCACTCGCAGCTCCACAGCAGAGCCAGGCTGTAAACCCCCAGCACCGCGTCCACTCCCCTGCAGTGTCCCTGGCAGCCTAGGCCCCCTCTGCAGGGAAAGCCAGAGCTGGGCCCCCAAACAGCAGATGCCTCCACAGGAGGCCAAGAAGCCAGAGGAGAGAGGTGCCACCCAGAGCGGCCCTCCAGGGTCTGCATGGACAATGTCCACCATGGAGGCCACCCTCCCTCTCCCCCAGCCCGTGCCCCTCAGGCAGAACTACCCACAAATAAAAGCTGACCCGAAGGTGACTTTTCTGGCTGAGTCAGGGCTCAGGAGAGGTCACAAGGCCCCCCACGGGGCTGGAGGAAGTCAGGCTGTTCCCCTCTCTGCGGGGTAAAGGCCAGGCAGCAGAGGAAGAGAGCCCGGCCACAGCGATGCAGGCCCAGCGGCCACTCCCTCCGCTGGAGCCGGGTTCAGGTAGGGGAGGACGGCGTGAAGGGCAAGGCAGGGCATGCAGGTCCTGCTTCCAGTCCCCCCGGTTCCCGAGGGCCTGCTGGGTGCCAGGCCCTGTGCCAGGTGTCCAGGCTACAGTCCCTGCCACGAGGACTCGCGGAAGCACTGTGTACACCACTGCGGGACGGAGGGCTCCCGGTGTGCGCCGGGCCGGGAAGGAAGGGCGTCCCCTAGCTGGCCAGACTGACCCCCACCTGAAGCCTGGGCCCTGCTGGGGAGAACCAGCCCCGGGAGGAGCTGGGGAGCATTGCACAGATAACTGGTGTCAGGGGCACACGCGGATGTTGGAGAGGCAGAGAGGTGGCACGGAAGGCACACAGAGGACGGTCACGGGGACCTGAGAAGCAGCACGGTACGAGCCAGCCAGGCGCAGAGTCGCGACAGTTCTCATTTATTGAGCATCTACCACGGGCCAGGTATAAAATGCTAAGTATGTCACGTCACTTCTGTTATAGCTCCATGACATTTCATGAGGTCATTGTCATCAGCCCAACTTACGGATTCAGAAACTGAGGGTCAGAAGGAGTCCCACAACTAGGAAGGAGGAGAGCCAGGGCTTTAGGGCTCTAAAGCCCAGCACTGCACCATCCTGCTGTCCCCTGTCCCTGTGCCACAGGCAGAAGGTAGGGACTTCAGGGAGGGGCCAGGAAAGAAGAGCAGGGAGGCAGGACAACTATCCTTTGTCCCAGAGGAGTTACCAGCCCTGCTCTGTTGGGACTGTATAGCAAGTGTGTGTGCACACAAGTGCATAGGTGTGTATTCTCACAAGTCCCCTACTGTATAAAGGACGGATGCCCCTAAAGCCAAGTAAAGGATAGGCCATCAACAGAGTAGGGGAAGGGAAGCCCAGAGAGGGGAAGGAACTTATCTAAGGTCACACAGCATATAAGCACAGTTGGAACTAACTGCAAGGCCAGAATCTAGGCCTCCTTCCTCCCCCCCACCTGCTTCTCCCTGTCAGCACAGAGTGAATCAGATGGGACAGGAAATCACCATGGTTAGGGGGAATCCTGGGCATGAGTGGGGGACAAGTCAGCCCTGAGAGACACCAGCTGGCCCTCACAGGCGCTGGTCTGTGGCCGGCTGCCTCTCTGCAGGGCAGCCTGTGGGGGGCGGGGACCACACATCCCCCCTCACCACTGGCTGTTTACCTCTGGGCTTCCCCTCCAAGCTCCTCAGACCCAGGCTCAGGGTAGGGGAGCCCGTGGGCAGGACAGCTCCTGCTGAGATGAAAGGGTCCCCCCACCTGGCCAGTCTCCTGCCTCACAGAGGGGTGGACTCGGCCCACCTCTTACCAGAGCCAGCTTCTGGCCCTTTGAAGCTCCCTAAATCACAACTTCCACAGGCTGGAGGAAGCAGGGGCTGGGCCAAGGCCAAGACCAACCAGGGGTGCCAACAGAGCCCGCTGCTCCAAATTTGAAGACAGCCTCGGGGCTGGGTCTGCTCAGCTGTGTCTGGTCCTCAGCAGACAGGGCTGGGTCCCCAGGGTGGGGAGGGGTGGCCAACGGGACTTCCTACTCGAGTGTGAGGCCCCCAGAGGGGCTGCCCCTGCTGGCTGGGCTTCAGGGGAGCCCAAGGGCACCAGGCCCCTGGCCCTTGCAGGACACTCGTGCTGGATCGGCTGCCTGCTGCTGTCCACAGCTGACTGTGAGCCCCGCCCCCTGGGCTGGGTGGGAGACCCGCAGGTGCTTCTTTCCACACCCGGATCCTAAACCCTCCGCTGGCCGGCCCAGCCTCCTCCAGGCCCATCTGCTCTCCTCCATGGCTGAACACAGGGCCTTCCTGGGGGGCTCCCTCCCTGTCACTGGGCACCCCCACCATCCCACTCAGCTGCCCTCCTGAGCCCCTGCTGAGCGCCAGGGGCTAGGCAGGGTGGGGAACAGAAGGACATGCAGGGATACCGCCCCACCCCACCCTGCAGGGCCTCTCCTACCCCCATGGCCAGAGGTAAGGGGGGCCTGCTAATGCCCATGGGCCAACGTCCCCAAAGCTGCCCAGGCTCCTCGTCCCCATCACCACAGCCGCCATCAGTTCTTTATCCCTTGATGGCTGGATCCGCCCCCCCCACACCTCTGCCACAGACTGCCCTTCCAAAGTGCCACCACTGTGAACCTTCAGTAACTCCCACTTTCTACAGCTCACATCTGAACTTCCCACCCGGGCATCCAGGGCCCTTCAGGAGTCCAGCTGGGTGGACCACCCACCATCCCTGCTCTTACTCCCCCACCCCACAGTTCAAACTTCAGCCAGACGACCAACCCTAGCTGAGGAGTGGGGAGAGGGGTCACCTCCTAGAGTTGGCTCCCCCCTTTCTTTCTGCCCAAGACGCCATCTCCACTGTGGAGGCCCCAACTCTCCCCTCCTGGGCCCTGAAGAGCCCTCAACCCTTTCTTTCTGCATCTTATAAGAGAGTCCCTGCTATGCGTCTCTGAGCCCCTTCCCAGAGGGTGACCAGAGTGTGAGGCCTGGAGTTAGATATCTGCTAGGCGTGATGGCACCACAAGGCGTCTCTCCCTCCCGCCTGCACCCTCTCCCTCCCGGCCACACCCATCTCTAACCTCCTGCCACTGAAAGAGGAGTCTGTGCTCCAGGTTGACCTGAGCCCCACCAGGACTGGGGAGCCTGGCAGAAAGTACTGCTCAAGTGTCACCCCCTGCCCTGGTTTCTCAGGCGTCTCCCCCCTCCTCTCCTGAACACCTTCGCTTGCCCTGCGGGCGCACGTGCGCGCGCGCGCGCACACACACACACACACACACACAGTCCCCTTCCATAGTGTGCAGCCTCCGTCAGCCTCTACTCCATGGTACTTTCCAGCCTGTTCTACAGTGTACAGCTCGTCTCCCTAGAAGATGCAGGCAGCTGACATGAAGCTCCTTCAATGTCCTTTGGTGTGAGACCCTGCTCAGACAGACACAGGTTTCCTCCTGTCCTCACCTCCACCCCCAGCCAAGCATGCAATGGAGTAGCGGGGTTCCAGCCACCAGGACAGTACAGACCCTTACAAAATCATGTTCCAGGGCCCTGGGTCTAAGTGACCATCTCCAGGAGGCACATGGTGGGAATGTCAGCAGCTCAGGGTAAGAACAGGGCCAGGTCTCCATCGCTCACTTCTGCACCCCCTAGCTCTGTCTTAGTTATAGCAGGTGCTCAGTAAATGGGTTTTGGTTTATTTAACTGAACACCTAGCAGCCTCAAACAATAGAACAGAAAACCCGGCTACTCTGGTCCAGGTGACACAAACCCCAACCCCCAAATGAACCAAATGATGTTGGTAGCAGGTGGCAGCCAGTCCATCACCTACCCCGCCACCTCGAAGTAGCTGTCCTATAGTTAGTCCTCCCTGGGTGCCGGCACCATGCTAGGCACTGAATACACCTTATTTTATGCAGTTCCTGCTACTTCTCTTGGGTCCTGCCATTACCCTCACTTTACAGACAAGGAAACTGAAGTTTGAAGTTTGAAGTGGATTTCCATCCCCAAATCCTTGCGCACAGAACTAGGATCCCAGCTACCAGGCCAGCACAGGGGACTCCTACACCAACACCAGCGCCAGGCCTTTCGGCCCACAAAACTAACTCTGGCCTTGTCACATGAGCCCCAGGGGCTCTGGGAACAGGGTTCCGTGGGGTTTCCCCTTCTCTTCCCCATTTACCACCAGCAGAGCACTGTTGGTACGCTGGCCTCGGGCCCCTCAGGGCAGCTCACCTGGAAAAGCCCCGCTGAGTTTCCAACTTGAAGTCTCTGGGGACCCTCCGCGGAGCTCTCAGAATTTGGAGGAGGGACAGAACGAAAACCCCCTGCTGTGGGTTCCCCGGCCGCGGCTCTCGGGTCGGAGCCCCGGGAAGCAGTGGCCTGGTTGGGTTCTGCTTTGCAAGGAGGGCACCGCGCCGGAGCGCAGGGTCTGAAAGCGCGCGGCTCCCCTGCAGGCCCTCACCTTCCGGGGTTGGGGTGAGGACGGGAGCCTGCAGTCACCTGGCCCAACTTCCTCCTCCTGGGACCCAGAGATCCCGAGCCGGGTGCGGGACCGGCTCGGGGCCACCCAGCGGCAGCTGTGCACGAAGGAAACGGAGAACCAGGGGCCCGGGACGCAGCTGAGGCTCCTTCTCAGCCGCCCGCTGCCCCGACCTGTTGCTGGTGGAGAGAAAGCGGCGGCGGCGGAACCGGGACGAAACTTATTCGCCCCTGCCTCCCCGGCCGGCCTCCCAGCCCCGCTCACCTGCTGGCTTGGCTTTGGCTCCGCGCTGCAGCAAGTCCGGGTGGCTCGCTCACGCCCCGGTCCGCGTCGGACTGCGCAGCCCTGGGCTCGGTCTCTCCGCCGTCCCCCTCCGGGAGGCGCTCGGGGAGCGCAGCTGCCTCGCCAGGCCCCGCCCCCGAGGCCCCGCCCCGACACGCCCCCTGGAGGCCCCGCCCCTGGGCCCTGCTGGCGGGGAGGCCACGCCCCTCGCCCTGCCAGCTCCTCCCGCCTCCAGGTCGCGCCGAGGAGGAAGCCCGCCGCTGTCCTGCCTAACGGCCCGCCCCCCTCGGCCTCTCGTCCTCACCCGCTGGCGGCCTTCCCGGGGCCTCCCATCCTCCCTGCCTCCTCCTCCTCCTCCAAGGCAGCCCCTGCCCGCCTGAGCCAGGCCACGCCCCGGCCACGCCCCTTCCCCGCGGGGTCCCGGCGCCTCCCCAGGCCAAGGCCCCGCTGCCCCACTCAGGGCGCCGGCCCGGGCCCCGCGCTGGCAGCCCAGGGCGGCTGTATCCGGGTGCAGCCCGGGGACGGCGTGGGAGCGGCCGGGGCCAGGCGCTTTTTAAAAAAAAACGAGCAGCTACCATTGGTGGAAGTCCTGTCGGGAAGCAGGCTGGAAGCCAAGCTGCTGTAAATGAACTAACCCTTGAACTCCCACCGCTCACGGGGGACTCACGATGCGCCCGTTTTACTGATGTGCAACCTGAGGCTTAGAGAAGGGAAGTCGTGGTCTGGGCGTCTCATGTTGGAGGCGGTGGTGAGCGGGATCCAGCCCCAAGCCCTGAATCACAGGCTTAATGCTGCCCCAGCTTGCCCGGACTGGCCCCTGGAGAAGTGGCCCAGGCCAGCCAGCTTCGTGGGGCAGGCTGCCTTAGGCAAGGGAGGGGGCAGCAGGAGGGGTTTGGGCCCTGAGCCCTGGACGTGAACTTTCTCCTTTGAGAAGTGGCCTCGAATGAAGGTGGGCTGCAAAGGCTTCCAGAAGGCTGTAGGGCCCCGCCCTGCTTCCCAGCCCTGCGTACCCCCAGACTCTAGATGACCAGCCTCAGGCCGGTTCCCAGACTAATGACCAGAACCATTAACCTGTGCAGCTGACAAAGCTCTTTTGCCCCATTATCTCATTGCATCTCACAACAACGCCATTGTGGGGAGGGTGTGACCCTGCCTGTTGTGCTTGGGTGAAATAGGCCAGGAAGCTGGATCCCAGCCCAGCCCAGTGCCCTGAAAGCATGGGCCTTGGACCAGAGACATCACCAGCATTCCCTGAGAACTTATTAGGAATCTATTATATCTGGGGGCCCCAACCCAGGCCTCCTGAATAAGAAACTCTGGAGCAACTGGTTTTCCCAAGGCCTCTAGGTGATTCTGAATTATATCCGGACCTTGAGAACCACTGTCGAGGGCACAGTGAAGGAGGGAAGGTGGTCTGAGGATCGCCCGGACCTAGGCAGCCTCCTGGCAGCTCCGACCCAGGCCACAGCAAGGTACTTAACCTCTCCACCGTGAGCCCTGAAAAGAGGGCTAATACCCATACTGGCTGCTGAAGATGGAACGTGAGCGCATTCAGAAGTGTCTGGCCCTCGGCTTGGGCATGTGCGTGCCCAATGTATATTCGCTGCCCAGTAAAATATCTGTTTTATAGAATTTTCACACCGAGTTGGGCAAGTGGAGCTAGGGAATCCCTACAGGCCAACAGTGTCCCACTGGGTTGTCCTTCCCACAGAGGGACACTGTCTATCCTGACGGAGGCCAAGGTCCTTAGCAGGTTTCTGGGTGAGATACTGATGCTGCTTGCTGGTCCAGGGACCTTACTTTGAGAACCACTGTGCTTTTTTGCACTGGGCTACATTCCAGCTCCGTCCCCTACCCAACCCTTGCAAAATGGGTATCAAAAACCTCCTCTTTCCCATGCTCCACATCTTCTCCCCAACCCCAGCTGGGGGTGTTGGTGGTGGTGGCTTGCAGCTGGCAGAACAGCTGGATCTCATCTGCCCTCTCCTGCTCCCTGGGCAGACATTCCTCACTTTAGCCCCAACTGCCACCTCTTCCGGATGAGAGATGGAGGGCAGAATGCAGGCGGCTTCTGGAATCTTGGCCATATTCCACCCCCACCCTTCTCTGCAGCCTACGGAAGGGGGTCTCCCTGTAGGAGTCCTAGCCTGGGCGCGTCCCATTATGCAGACTACACTGTGTGGGAAGCCCAAGTTGAGACGGCCAATTAAGGCCCACGTACCCTGTGTCTAAATATTTAACAGGCTGTAAAAAAAAAAAAAAAAAGAAAGTTCATCCTTGTACCTTGACGAATGTTCTTTAAAAGGATCAAGAAGACCATGTTCAAATTTAGGATCCCTGACTTCTGCGCAGGAGCTTGGTGGGGAGGTCAAGCCCACCCACCCCACTTCCACTGTCTCCATCTCTGCCCTGGGTCACAAGGGGACGAGGACTCAGGCATGTGAACCCTGCTGCCCACCTGCCCACACGCCCTGCCTGTAGCCAGTGCTTGGCCCCTCGGGGGGACACACACCAGGGACAGGGTCATCCTCAGGAGGACGGACCTGGGCAGGAGGCTTGTGTCAGCCTTGGAACTGGCTTTGAAACCCAGGCCTTGAAGCCCAGCCCGAGAGTTCCAGGGTTTTCGATGCCTGAAGCATGATCCAGAAAGGGCGTGGGCTCTGGGAGGACACAGAAGGTGGCACTTGCCATTTGGCCTGGCCTCCCCAGCACAGGGCCTGGAACTTAGGGGACAGTGGTTGAGTAGGTGTGTGGCTGAGTCATGGCTGGAGAGCCGTGGGAGATGGCTCTCTAGCTGTCCTCATCCCCTCTCTCCCAGCAGAAGCCGGACTTTGTCGTGACGTTGGGCATTTTGTCAGGTGGAAGGCAGAGACGCCTCTGGTGAGAGACTCTGCCTAGTGGGACAGTTGGTTCCAGGGGCAAGGTGATCAGAGCACCCGAGCAAGCCTGGGCAGAAGACCCCGAGCAGCTCTTGGAGGACACCAAGACTTCAAAGGGGTCTGCCCACAGGGGCCCCAGTTTCAGAAATCCCCCCCTTGACGTGCCAAGTGTGGAGGAGAAGCAGTGGAGCGGGAGACCCAGAGTCCTCCTTGGCAGGAGCATGAGCAGCAGGTTCCTGTGGGTGCCTGCCCCCTAGCAAAGCCCCCGAGACTTGCCCAGCTCAGGGTGGGAGGGGAAGGTAAGGTTTGTTTCCTGGTGCTGTTGTCTCGGCCCCTTTTGCATGGCTCTAAGGAAACACTTGAGGTTGGGTAACTTTATAAAGAAAAGAGTTTTATTTGGGCCCATGGTTCTGAAGGCCCAAGGTCGAGGGGTCACATTTGGTGATGGCTTACTACAGAGTCTCCAGGCAGCTCATGGCAAGGGGCAGCGAGGGAGCCTGTATCTCTTCTGCTTGCTCTCTCCCTCTTCTTATAGAGCCACCAGTATTTAGTTGCAAAGGTCAATTGGAATTGTCAACTTGATTGGATCAAGTGACACCGGAGACTAAGAGGCTTCTGGGTGTGGCAATGGCAGCACCGTCCAATAGGATGACGGCTTGGGGGGAATAAAAGTTGGGAGAAGGAGGAAGCAGCAGCAGACACAGACTTGATTCTTCCGTCTTCCAAAGCCGACTTCCTCCGCCAGTGACCCCCAGAAGCATGGTCTTGGGCTGGGGTGCACCCTTGCTCTCTCTTGTTCTGGGGCTTCAGCCTCTGGGACTGCAAGCTGCTGGTCCCTCCAGCTCTCCAGCCTGCAGACGGCCACTGTGGACTCTCCAGCTGGTCGCACAAGCCAGTCGAACAAATCCCTTCTTATAATCATGCTTCCCGTTGTCTCTGCCCCCCAGAGAACCCCGACTAGCACATCAGTCATGGGGCTCCACCACACCCTGTTAGATCGCATCACTTCCCGGAGACCCCCCGGCAAACACCGCGGCTGGATTAAATTCCAACCCTCTTAACAAGATGTAGCGGGGACCACATGTGAATCTTGGGGGGACCTGAGACCCTACCTGGACCAGGGCGGCTCTACACCAAATCCCCCCCAACTGTTTATTTTGCCTCTCAGTTGCTTTTCGGGTGATCTCTGTGGCAGGGGCTGATCTCTGCTCTATGCAGTGTCCGCTGGCTCACTTGGGGACAGGGCGTTCATTTTCCAGAGGGTGCACTCCCAGGCCAGGAAGCTGTCAGGGGAGAGCCCAGCGGGAGCCCTGGACCTCAGGCTGCGCTCCCGCCCCGGGATGCTGCCACAGGTGGCCTGGGCTTCCCCCCAGTGAGTCTGCTGGGTCTCAGAGCAAGAGGACACGTAGGCCCAGGTGGCATCTCGGGGTGGCACTGCTCCTCAGCACCTCAGCATTCAACCGTGGTGGTCATCACAAGGGCTCGTCCCGTTCCCAGGGAGGAGACGTGGTCTCTGTGTCCTGTCCTGATGAGGGTGTGGCAGGTGTTCTAGGACAGCCTGTGGGACAGATGTAGTCCGCCTCTGTGGGTCTCAGAGTGACACAGTAGAATTCCTCTGATGGGAGCTGGGGGTCCGGATTAAGCTGATTTAAAGAAAAAAAAAGATATTTCTTCAAGAGTTAGCACTTCCTCCCCTCAAGTGGCCCTGTGCTCTCCAAGTCCTAACAACATCCCCAGGTGCCGCTGTCCCAAGGCCCACTGCTGAGATGTGGAAATGGAGGCACCAAGACATTTAGTAACTTCCCAAGGTCACCTGAGAAGTGATAAAGAAAAGAGAGACGACGGTGTGTCGTCAGCCTGACTTTCAGTTGCAGACACTGAGCCCCAAGGGAAACACTCAAATTGGGCAGGACCCAGGGACAGATCTGAGCAGGCCACTGGTGACCCACCGGCCAGGAAGCGCTGAACGCGGTTCCTCAGCCGGGGTCAGTGTGTTCTTTCCCTCTCTCCCTCCTCCTCCTCCTCCTTCCTTTCTCTGTCTCTCTCTGTTCTTCTTCCTTCCTCCCTCCCTCTATCTTTTTTTTTTTTTTTTTTTGGTGGGCTGGGAGGGAGCCCAGGGGGGCAGCCTCCTCTCCCATTGGGCCCAGCCCCCGCCTGCAGTTCATGCCTAAGCTTAGGAAGTCCTGCCTCTGAAGGGGCCACTGACCATTTTTCTCGCCTAGAGACTTCCTGGGGTCTGCAACTCTGCGTCCATTACAGCTGGGTCAGGGCTGGGGCGAGGGCCGGGGGGGGGGGGGGGGGGGTGGGGTGGGGGGAGGGGGTGCTCACTCCAATGTCAGTCACCTCCCAAGGGTCAGTCCGGGCCCTGCTCCCACAGCCCTGCCCCTTGCCACCTCCAAAGGTCCAGGACTTAATCCCACCAGCCCTGGCTTCAGGGGACCTGCAGTAGGACCTGTGGGGGGGACCTACCCAGTGACGCCCCAATAACAGGGATAACAATGATTATGGCAGCCTCAGTGGGCCAGGAGGTGGTCGCCCTGCACCGGGCATTTTTAAAATGACTAATTCAAGCCTGTGTAGCTCATCGGGTAAGCAGCAGCCGGGGACACTTGACCTATCAGGGAGCTTGCTGACTCCTTCACTTCTTTTACAACCTGCGGCCCTCTGGTGGCTGATTGAAAGGCTAACTGCTGTCCCCTTCCCACAATTTCCTGTTAAGCTGTTTCTCTTCCCTTTTTAAGCATCA